GGCGTGGGTGGGATGCTGTTTGGAGGGTCAGTGTGGATTCAATACACTAAATAGCCTGCTTCCACACTGTAGGGATTCTACAATGACATTGTACATAATATGTGGCAAATGAAGGTCAATAATAGATGTATATAGTAATGTTGCTGTCAATTTAAGAGGTTATTTTGTCCTAGTTTTTATTTTTGAAGAAAAGTTGTAAGGTAGAGGTGTTGATCTGCCTACTGAAGACCACTTGAGTAAATATCTTGAGCAGCCTTGGTTTTTTTTTAAGCGCAGTCTGAATGGGTGTGGCCAGCTCAAACAGATCACAATCTCTGGATAGCATCAGAAGCTATTGGGGCCCCAACAGAGTTGGAAGCTTCCGTGAATATCCCCTGGCTGACACTTCCTCTGATTTTCCTCTTGATGTTTTTTCCTCCTGGATTGGAGAACTGCATGGAAGAATCTGTGTCTGAATTTTTCTTTTTTGTTAAGGGGTGTGTTTATCGGATGTTACGCTATTGGAACAGTTAGTTAGTAATAGGCGCTGTATCTATTATTCTGTTAAGTTTCCAATAGATTTAAATTACTCTAAATTCCTCCTCCTTTCATTGTATTTTAACTACAGGTTTAAATAAATTGTTTTGCTTAATGTCGAGTAGTTTTTCTAGTCACATCGCATCTGGAACAGACACTTTACATTTACTTTAGAAATAAGAAAAAGTTAGGGTCTAGGCTACATTCTTAAAATATTTTGAAGGGGTCTGGTCTGGTTCATCACAATACACACTGGGATAACCTCAAGTCCATGAGGAATTTTCAGTTTAAATATTCAGCTGTCAATTAATTTATTGTCACTGCAGTTTCTGGCCTAATGTTGTGAATTCTCTGGTTTTAGAACCATAGAATCATAGAACCATAGAATCCCTACAGTGTGGGAACAGGCCATTCGGCCCAATAAATCCACATTGCCCCTCCGAAGAGCATCCTGCCCAGACCCATTCCCCTACCCCTGTATCTCCCATGTCTAATCCACCTAACCTAAACATCCTTGGGCACTCTCTCGGGCCTCTCTCTGTTGAGATCACATTGTGACCCATCCATCAGATAATTCTTCCTCTTTTGTTCTTACCGTCAATTTCCATCAACTATTGCCAAGACAAGTCTGTGACTGATAATTTCCGATGTCTAAACTTAGCTAGTTCACTCTCTCTAACCATATTCAGTCAAGACTTTTTGATCCTTGGATTTCTTTTGATCAAATCCACTTATTTGTGTTTCGGGTCCCTCAAGTCAATCTCGCCCAGCCCACGCATGGAAATTTCAAAAGCTGTTAGAACATAGAACATAGAACAGTACAGCACAGTACAGGCCCTTCGGCCCACAATGTTGTGCCGAACTTTTACCCTAAACCTAAGGTCTATCTAACCTCCACCGCTACCTTATACTATCATCCATATGCTTATCTAATAGCCGCTTAAATGCCCCTAATGAGGCCGACTCCACTACCCTCTCCGGCGATGCATTCCACGCCCCTACCACTCTCTGACTATAGAACCTACCTCTGACGTCTCCCCGATATCTACCTCCACTCACTTTAAAACGATGCCCCCTCGTAATAGCTGTTGCATCCTTTATCTACAGAGTCCAAAGACCATAAGGAATAGAACAGGCCATTTGGCCCCTCATGCCTACTCTCCATTCATTGGTTGATCTGACATTCCTAATGTCCACTTTCCCGTCCTTTCCCTGTAACCCTGATTCCCCGACTGATGAAGAATCTATCTATCTCAGCCTTAAATCTACACAAGAGCTCTGCCCCCCACAGCTCTCTGTGGCAAGGAGTTCCAAAGACTCACAACCCTCTGAGAGAAGAAATTCCTCTTCATCTCAGTCTTAAATTGGTGCCCCTTTATTCAAAGACTGTGCCCTCTGGTCCCAGACCCCTCCCATTGGGGGGAACATCCTCCTCAGCACTGACCCTGTCAAGCCCCTTAAGGATCCTGTATGTCTCAATGAGATCCCCTCTCATTCTTCCAAATTCCAGTGAGTACAGTCCCAACCTGTTTAACCTTTGCTCATAAAACAATCCCTCCATATCAGGGATCATCCTAGTGAACCTTCTCTGAACTGCCTCCAATGAAATGAGATCTTTCCTTAAACAAGGAGACCAAAACTACTCTCAGTGCTCCAGATGTGGTCTCACCAGCACCTTGTACAGCTGCAGTAAGGCTTCCCAACTCTTATACTTCAACCCTCTTGAAATAAAGGCCAACATTCCATGACCCTTTCTGATTACCTGCTGTACCTGTGTGCTAGCTCTCTGTATTTTGTGCACAACTAAACCCCCACCAAGTCCTGTTGCGTTGCAGCTTCCTGCAGTTCCTCTCCATTTAAATAATACTTGGCCGTGCTAAATTACCCCATAGTGTTCAGGGATGTGTAGCTTAGGTGGGTTATAAGGGGATGGGTCTGGGTGGGATGCTCCAATGGTCAGTGTGGACTTGTTGGGCCGAAGGGCCTGTTTCCACACTGTGGGGATTCTATGA